TAACCCTTATATGGCTGAATGATTGCCGAATGGCATGAAACTAATAGTTCCATAAAAAGTTGTATTTTTTTCATTTAAATTATATATACCACTAAGTAGTGCTTTTTTTTCTCTTTCTTTTGATATATTGTTTGTATTTTTTTTTTTTTGTGAAAATGATAACGAAGACACATCAATGTATGAAGAAAACTCTACTATATATTAGTAGTAGTGATAAAAGTTTTTTAATAAAGGCGCAATATTATTTATAAAATAGTTATATTATTATTGTTATTAACTGGTTAAATATAGTTTATCATCTAACATCACAGAGGCATTTTTTTGAGTATGCTTTATTTTAGTCTCTGATACTATTATGATAGAAATGGTGAAGATGTATCAGATTTGTGGATTCCTGTTCTTGAAGGTGATTGTGGAACAGAAGATGTTCCTTTTATTGCAGAGTATGGCCCAAAGCATATTATTGTACCTGATTCTATTCCTATTGACTACTTTAATCTGTTTTTTACTCCAGATTTTTTAGAATATATAGTAACCAATACTTGAGGGACTACCCAACATCTAGATGTTATAAATGGATAAAACAAGGAAAGACTAATATTTTAGAAATGAGAGCATTTTTGGGGGTTGTTATTAATATGGGTTTCATAAAGTAAGCCAATATTTCACTGTACTGGGATAGCACTCACCCTTGTAGTTCTACTCCTTGGTTCGTGACACTTTTGTCAAGACTGTTTTCAACTTTTTTTTAAATTTATACATTTTGCAGATAACAAACTCTTAAATGTTCAGCATCAACTAAATAAAGTTTAGAAGATAAAAATTTTTAGTAGATCATTTTAATAGTAAATTTTTATATTACTAAAATCCCCAAAAAGATATTTCTATGGATGAAAGTATAATTGGATTCAAGGGAAAGACACCACACCTGCGTCAGTATGCCTAACAAGCGCCACTCTCGATTTGATATTAGGTTATGGTGTCTTTCAGACAGCACAAATGGCTACCTGTGCCAATTTGAAGTTTACAAGGGTGGTAAAGAACCAGAACGAGTACCCAATACCTATGGTATGATCTACAACTTGGTTTTTCGTCTTTTGCGCATGGCAAATCTTCTTCATTGCGGTTATAACTTAGGCATTGATAACTATTTTACTTCTCCACGATTGTTGTTGAACTCTCATGCACATCAAACCACTGCGACAGGCTAAGTCAGAGCTAACAGAAAAAGTCTGCCACAAATATTATAAAGACATGTATAAAAACATGTATAAAGACATGTATAAAGATAAAGCTTAAAAAAAAGGAGGCTTGCTAGTCTCGAAAGGGTCCATTATTATATGTAGCATATCAAGATTAAAAAAAAAAGCCAATCTTACTATCTACTGTTGCCAAAAGAGGTTTTACTGAACTGCGCAATAGGAAGGATAGTTTTGTCATGAAGCCAAATGTAATAGCTCTCTACAATCGAGTAATGAGGGGTGTAGACTTTGGTGATGCGCAACTTTACGTGTATTTGTCTGAAAGAAGAATTATAAAGTGAACAAGAAAGTTAGCATTTTCTTTATTTGGTAGGGCTATCCATAACAGCTACTTGTTATATAGGATTAACAACAATTAGTATTCCCCAATATCAAGAATTAGTTTTATGATGTCGATTATAGAAAGTTTGGCTGGTAACTATTATCCTGCCAAAGTCACTTTTCGGAGACAAACATCAAGTGAGATGCAGAAAGCTAAAAATATGACTGACTCTTATCCACTGCCCAAACACACAGCTAATAGTAATCCATTACAAGGTCATAATCTAGTAAAAATAGGTGATAGAAGAAAATAAAAACTGTATGGCTGGCCACAGGGCTTAAATTTTTTTTTATACATTTTGTAGATACAAGACATGATTACATGTTACAAAATTCTGAACAATTTAGTTTGCCTCACTCAGGTTTGTTAATATTTGGAATAATTTGCCGTCTGACATCGTGAACGCCAAAAATATAAAGAGCTTCAAAATTAAAATTAACTCCATCGACTTTGAAAAATACTGTTCTGGTTAACTGGTTTTTGTTTTATAATTATGGTCTATAATTTTAATATATATTTTAAATTATCTAGCATATGTTTTATGTGATTGTAGGACACGTTGTGAGAATCCTTCATATTTTAAAGACCTGCGTATCCTTTAGAACATGTATCACTGTTCTAATAAATTTTAATCTAATCTAATCTAAATGTTATAAAATGAAAAATTGTATAAAAATCTAAAAATTGTTCTTTTTTTCGTTTTCGTTTTTTTAGTTAAATTTTTCGAAACAACTTTTATTTTTATCAAACAGTCAAAGGGTTAAATAAGATATGGAGGTTACAAGTAGTCAAAATGCGGCGCTTCAGAAATTAATTCATAAGCGAAGTTGACGGTTGAAGTTGACGAAGTTGAAGTTACGGAAATATTTCATTCTTGACGAAGTTGAAGTGACGGAAATATTTCATTCGGAAAATCAGCAGTGTTAAAAAACAGCTAATTGTTGCTGCAGCAGAAGGTATTCCTGAAACATGAAAATCTTAGGATACTAATAAGCTTCATACAAATTGAAGATGTGTCTTACATAATTTCATGTGGCATAAAAGTAGCCAATATTTTATGTGGTATCCAGTTTCACTCTAGTAAATACCCATGTTGATGGTGTAATGTCGAGTCAAACAGCCTTACAAACTCTGGCCAATCAAGAACATTTAGTTCTTTATGCATTAGCTATGCTGGGTTCCTTTCTTCAAGCGCAAAACTTCAATCGCCTAAGAATTATGCAAATACTGTCTATCTTTCATTAGTTAGCCCCCACAAAAAAAAAAGGGTATACGGCTGCTATAGCTAAACGTTGTTGCATCTTAGTTAGTGGGTAAGATTTCTACAGTTTACCACACACTAATTTGTACATTTCCGCCCATACCTGATAACGTACTTTATGGAAGACCTCTTTTTAAGAAATCACTTTTTTTTTTTTATAATTTATATTATTTATGAGCAGTCGTAGCGCAGTGGTTAGCGCGCTTGTCTCAGAAGCAAGGAATCCGTGGTTCAACCCCACCTCTGAGCAAGTTTAATAACATCGGCAAGGAAGAAGGCGTGAACCTCCTTTTAAATGCTCTACCACGGAGCTCTGTGATAAGACCGTAAGGACTTCTTGGGGCACCTAAAATTAAACTCAAAAAATATATATATATATATTTACAGTTCATTACGTTACTTAACTGACATTATAAATAGTGTAATGTCATTTAAATACATTAAATGACATAACAAATAGTGTAATATATATCATAACGTATGTAATAAAACGCAAAATTATATAATACATTAAAATTAATCAAGTTCTTATCATGAAATGATAAGAACTTGATTATTTTTAATGTTTTAAATATTTTTAGAAAAATTAATAAATTTTTTTAAAAATATTTTAAAATATCAAATGAATATTATTTGATAACAATGCACAATTTTTTGTCAATAATTTAAGTTAATTTTTAACTCATATAATTGCTTTCGTTTCTCCTTTGACCTTTTTTTTGTATTTTCTTTTTCTGATAAGCTTTCAGCTTTTCTTTTTTCAATACTCTCTGAATAAAAGCTCTACTATATTTAAACTTAGTAATTATCGAAAGATAATCTTTATCATTTTCCAATGTTTTACTATCAAACAAATTCCTAATTTGTTACTTAGGGGAAAAGCGCCTATGATGGCATAGCGCCTACCGTTCATGTTTTCATAAATATTGGTTAAGGCGAAAAAGTGATTAGACATGTCTATACTGACTTTACATTAGTTTTAGTAAAAATACGTCCCTTATGCACAAATCTTACTTTTACAATCAACAAAAATCGATTTTGGGATGTGCTGTTGTATTTTTAATTCCTTTAAATATTAAAGGTTGTGATTTTATCATTAACTGTGCAGAAATGAAATTTTCATGCATTTTATTTCCAAGTTTTGTGCATTTATTGGAATACTTATTTTAATTTTATCTTTTGAACAAGGCAGATATAGCTTGTTTAAATCAAAATGACGACTTCTTCCTATGATGGCATACTCACGAGTTAGGTGTGTTGGAATATTGAGTTGAGGAAGCCTCTTTTTTTTTTAAATAAAAACAACATATTTGTTAGTGAAGTAAAAAGAAACTTTTACTTCAATAAAAAATATTTTGTTCAAAAAACACATAAAACGTAATATCTCTTATGCACATGCGCGAAATTCTACACTGCTGCTGTGTAGCACGAAAGAGTTAATTAGGATGATTACGCGTAATTTCTGGCATTTCTGAGGAAAGGCTCTAAGGTCAAATAAAATTGTTAAGTTACCCTTGATGCTAACCAGTCCTATCCACCCCTATGCCATCATTTTTAAATAAAAATAACTAATAAAAAAAAAACTGTTGAAAACTCCTAAGGTTATTATTGTTCTACTTGTAACATAGAAGGTATCGATATCAAAAGTTTTATTTTTGGTCTTCAGGATACTGAATAATGAAGCTTCAAAGTTAAGTATGCCATCATACGCGCCTTTCCCCTATATATAATATTTTAGTTTAAATTAGTTTGATTTTTTTTGTTTTACAACTCCTAACCTTTGCAAGACTTATTATATATTCAATTAAGAGTTTGTTTTCAACAAAATTGAGTCAAGTTGAGTACGATAAGTCGATTGTGGCAATAATTGTTCGTTTATTGTTATTAAGAAATATCCATTCATGTTATTTATTGTTAAAATTTTATTTTGGGAAATAATATTTATATCAGAAATTGTTAATATATTAGAACAAAGAGAACATTTGTATGAATTTAATATGAAATAGGTATGTTGTATGAATAATTATTTAATATGAAATAGGTATGTTGTATGAATAATTATTTAATATAAAATAAGATTTTTCTCTTTAAGATCTATTTGTAGCAAAGAGTTGAAAAGTATAGGAAATGTAAATATCGTATTTTAAATAAGCAATTTCGAATTCAATAATAGGCTTAAATAAAATGATACAACAATTTCTTCAAGTTAAAAAAAAATAATAATTCCGTTAGTAAATAAATAAAAGACGCATAAAAAATTATATCAAATTTGAGAGGAGTCTTCTGCGTGATCTAATAAATCTTTAATTCTAGGCACTAATACTCTATTGTCATCACGGCTAATCGAGCTAGAACTTTCGGACGTAATGTTTTCCTTATCTCTCTTACATTGTTTTAAACACTGCGCAGTTCCATCAGGCTGACGTTTCCGCTTTCCGGAAAGAAATAGTTCTGCAATATTTAAAGATAAAACGTCGCGTCTGTTTACCCTGTTTATATCTAATTTTTTGTATTTAACGTTTGTTTTGTTTATTCCCTCTTTAAAACCACTAAGGTTTGTGCAATTCGAAGTGAGATTAGATATAGTGTTTTGTGAAGAGTTTGACAGTACTTCCTTTGTCGACTCGCAATTTTTTGAATCAATATCACTAACTAAACGCATGTTTGTATTTATAGACTTTAACCATGTTTCTAAAGATGAACAAGTTGTTTTAAGTACTGAACTTTCAATATTGCAAGTAGCAGGAAGTGACCGCGCTTTTGTCATAAGACTATTAGGAGTTGAAAGTTTTAAAAATGGTGTGCAACTTGTCATACGAGAAGCTTTTGGAGTAAAGTATTGATTTGTAGCAGATTCAACATTATTCAACATTGGAGTAAAGTATTGATTTGTAGCAGATGTATTATTCAACGTTGGAGTTTTCGGCGTCATCGATGTGAAGTGAGATTCTTCTAAAAAAAAAAAAAAAAAATTTTTTCTTCATGAAGTTGTGTCAGAAAAACAATCCATACAATTTTATTATTTATTAGTTAGTTAAAAAGCGCACAGTTAATATAAATAAATCTTCAGGCGAACCAACGCACCTCTTAATAACAAATATAAACTCGATAATAATATTTTTACAATAAACTGATTTTAGAAAATTATAATAAAGAACGTTGAATTCGGTCAACAACGTGTTATAGTTTTATCAACAATAGCAATCGAACTTTTTTTTTATCGCTGACAAAGATATTCTATAAAACAATCAAACGTTTAACAAATAAATTTTTATTTCTGATTTTATAAATCTTTTTCTATAATATATTCTATTAATATTCTATTAATAAGCATAATATTCTATTAATAAGCATAATATTCTATTAATATAATATTCTATTAATATAATATTCTATTAATAAGCATAGAAATTTTATTTCAACTATATAATATATAAATTTGAAAATCGTTAGCCGTTATGTGGTTGCCAGTTTTTTTCTAAACCTATATTTGTAACTTTATTTTTTATCCTATTAAAACACTATTGTAGTAATATCAATAATTTGCTACTCAAACCAATCATTTGCTACCAAGGCCAATCCTTTGCTACCAAGGCCAATCCTTTTATCCAGTTATCAGAAAATTTACTTCCTACAAATGATGACAGCTTTTTATTCAGCCCTACCGTCTGATCATGTATAATCTAAATATCGAAACACTTTCACCTTTTTATTTCACATTTATTTTTGAGGCATTTTAGAGGTATTAGATTTCAAGTCTTCTAATAAACGATTTATCGCTCTTTAAATGTCTTAGATATTTTCTAAATATTTTATAACTTAAATAGTCGTTAGATATAGCCGCCTTGTCTTAAAAAAGAAATGTTAAAATTACAAACAGTATTTAAATATGGTTTCTTCAAAAATAGACAAATTGGGAAAGACTGTATACCAAACAAAATGCAAAGAGTTAAAAAAAAAATTGTTTCTGCTAGGTTTTCATAAAAAAATATTCTACTATCACATGTATCATTTAATTTTTAACTGAACAAAAGGTTTGCATCGTATTTAGAATTTCAGAGACAGCTTTAAATGCAAAAAATGTTCATAACTGAAATTATTAGTTTACTATGATTACAATTTGGGCTTTCTTCTTTTTTATAAAAAATATATTTTCTGTCCAATAGAAATAGAACCATTAAAAAAATATTTTAAAAAAAAGGAGATACCTAACAATTTACTTTTCATTTTTTCAAAAATAGAACATCTTTGATCAAATGTCCAACTTGCATAAAGTTTTTGATTAGAACTGATATGCAAAGGTAAACAAGAAGGTAACAAAGAACAACTCTTTAACAAAGTCTTATTTTCAAGTGAAACTAAAAATAAACCATAATTAAAAGTAAAGTTAAAAAATATTACATTCTTATGTATTATATAAAATATATACTCTTATATACTATATAAATTATAATATAGTATATATAAAATTATACCCGGTCTAGGTAATATATCATCAAGTGTTACAACTGGTTGAGATTCTTTTTTCTCACAAGTTCCTGTTATTTGGATTTTAGAACTATCTTGAAACAATCGCCTAAAACAATTTTTGCTTGTAAGCTTTAATGGTATTACAATATTTAAATATGTAAATAAATAATGTAATAAAAAAAAAAATGTTTTCTTGAAAAACACACAATAAATAAAAATACAAATTACCAGATTTTAAAAGTGTTATCATCTGAACAAGTAACAACCTTTAAAGATAAAAATTTTATTTTCTCGATTTGTTTCAAAATTATTTACAAATAATTAAGATTACAATTTTAATTATTTGTAAATATTTGTAAAATGTAAAAATATAATCTGTAAAAATGTATTATAGATTATAGATTGTAAATTGATTATAGATTATAGATTGTAATCTAATTAAAAATCTATAATCATATTATGATCTATAATCTATAATATATTTTTATTCTATAATCATATCTATAGCACACTTTTACACTTGCCTAGTAAACTAGTACAGTTTATTAATGCAAGCGTGTAAAAATATTATACACAGCTTGAGCTACTACAAGGTAACTATTGTAAGAAACCAGAACAAATTTCCCAGGAATGTAATCTAATAATTTAGATTTTCTCACACCAAAATAAATTAGCCAAAATACAAATTTACTTGTGAAATCACACAAGTTTACTTGTGAAATTTAAGTACAGGTAATTAAATAATTTCACTATAAACAATGCTCTCAATAGGTTTGTGATTTTTTTTTCTAGTATAAATGGACTAAGGGTAAGGTTTAGATTTAGATTGTACAAATCCTTTTTATCCAGAATAGATATAATCATTTTGGCTTCAATTGAGCGAATTTGGAAAAGTTTATTTTGGACTTTAGGCATTCTAATTTGAATTCAGAAAATAATTCTTATGGATTACAAAGAAGTAATAAATAACAAAATCTATTTTATTAGGCAACTGCTGATTTAATTTATTACTGCATTTAAAGATTTCTTCTTTAGCTAAGATATCTAACCATATTATAACAGTATTTGATTTTCTGAAAATGATAATATCTCTTTTGAGATATTATCTCAAAAGAAGTTTCTTTACTTTAGTTATGGTTGGCTTTGATGTATTAAATACCTCAGCCGCTAAATCAATAAAAGCTATAAATCAGGAACCAAAGTCAAAACCTAAATTCCCTTTTGCCAGTAATACTTAGTTTTCCTTGCATTGAAATCATATTCAACATCTGGCTTCTCAGTAACATTACTTCTCAAATTCCATTATCACGGAGAACATTATCCTCGATGATTGTGCACCTTCAATCTCTTTATTGAATATTTGTTCTAGACAGTCATTATTATCATTATGATCCTTTAATGTTTACAAAACTATTTTTTGTACCACTTTTTCTAAGCATGAAGGACACATTTTAAAGCCAAAGGTTGTTATCAAACCAATTGAACATATTTTTAATGCCAGTTAATTATTTATTTCTTGCTAAACATTTACATTTATTAAAAATGTTTACTAAGTGTACTCTTTATAAAAAGAAGTTGTAAAAGTTAAAGAATAATTTTACCTTTTATTTGGAATGCAATTTTTTTCAGAATTAACAAATCTGTTAAGTAAGAGTTGCTCATCATGAAGATGTTAACATTAACATTTATTATGTTCAATTTTATGACAATGATCATTTAATTATCTTACATTACGCACTTTTTTTTTTAAATTTAAAAAAAACAGACAATTCCAATGCAAATTATAAAACTTTAGAGCGTTGTTTGAAACTCAAACACATGTTGTAGTGACTTCAAAATCAAGCAATGATGATAAATCAAAGAGAAACCGCTGCAAAGTTGATATTAATTTAAAATAACTGGAGTTATCTGTTTTTTACTATGTTGCCGTTTGGCAACATTATGTAATATAGGGTTAAGAAACACTGTAAACAAATTCTTTTCCAATTTAAATGTAAAATTTTTTTATGCACTAATTACAAACAAATTCAAAAAACATGAGCTTTTATAGAATATTTCAAACTGAAAAAAATAATTAAATAGGCAGAAAGAGCAACAAATGGGCTAATATCTGACTAATTAATGACTGACTTCTATTTTGATTTCTATTGTGTTTTCTATTTTAGTAAAAGATTAAATGTCACTAGTATCTGAAAGAAAGCAAACATTTATTGATTTGAATAAAGGCTTCTTAAGGAATTAGGTGAAGTGACTTTTAAAATTTTTCTTTTGTACAAATTTTATGATGTCAATCAATTTAAAAAGAAAAATGAACACTATTTTCTTTCTATCCATTTTCCCCCATGATTTTAATAGAATGTGAAAGCTATTTTATCAAAATGAAATAAGAAATGCAAATTTTGTTACAGGTCTCTTTTCATGATATATGACATTTTCCCAAATATAATATATAATCACCACCTGATTCAGTTTCTTTCATTTTTATAGAAAATAACTACTATATTCTGGTTCTTTTTTTTCAAAACTGTACAAATGCAATAGCTAATTTTTAAGAAATATTATTTCAAAAACCAAATCTATGCAATGAAGGTGACCATTTTAACAAAGAATGAAAAAAAATAAAAGCACATCTGTTTTATATTATATTTATTTCTTGTATTAATATTATAATATTGTATTTGTATTGCATATCAATATTATTTTTGAAATCTCCATCAATTAAAGGTATTTTTATAAACTCAATTGAAATATTTTAATTGATTTTCATTAACAGTAAACATTTTTGTAAAAGTTGTGTGTATGTATGTATGTATGTATGTATGTATGTATGTATGTATGTATGTATGTATGTATGTATGTATGTATGTATGTATGTATGTATGTATGTATATTTATATCTACATCTATGTAGATATATAAAAAATGGATTTTCATAGCATACCTTATCTCCTAGATTTGGCGACCATGTAACACTAGTTACTTCACCAAGATGACCTTTTAAAACCCAAGGTTGTTTATCAGATGAATTTGTCTTCCAGATATATGCTTGACAGTCGTTTGAACCACATAATAAAAATCTTAACAAAAAAATCACATAATAAAAATCTTAACTAAAAATCTTAACACCAATATGAATCAATTACAATACTATAATTACAAATAGATCTAATGATAATGTATGAGGTATGATCTTAAGTGCATGCATATCTATAAAAGTCTATAAAAATCATTAGCCTATTAAAATACAATCATAAAAAAATGTTTGTAAAAAAAAACTTTTTAAAAACAACATTTTAAAACTGGACTAAAAAGAAAAAAATTATTTAACGGGACCCAAGGACTTTGTTTACATACACAACGTGAAATTCCATTAAAGTCAATGACTGAAAATATTTGGCGTCAATAGGAAAGAGTTGTACTTAGTTGCCCAACATTTTCTGTCATTGACTTTAATGGATATTTTAAGTTGTGTACGCGCACAAAGTTGTTGGGTCCCGTGAAATAGTTTATTTTTTACTTTTCAGTCCATTTTTAAAATGTTGTTTTTAAAAAGTTTTTATATATATTTTTTATTATTCAACAGTGATTCTATTTATTTGCGCTTTTAAAAATCTTTTGGAATTTGAAGAATCGGCAAGCAACAATGCAACTTATCAAGAATCTCAACTTGGGAACAAGTACTTACCAAGTCTGGGAAACAAATAATTTAAGTTGGCACTCTCTTTAAACTTATAAAGTAATTGAACAACTTCAAAAAATAAACAAACCGACAAAAAAGCAAGTTAAACAAAATGTTGTAAAAATGTATAAGATTTAAATTCCTAATATATCAAAATATAAAATATAGATCTGCCCAATGGAACAGAGAACACTTGAAACTATTGAGCACATAACTAAAAAAAAAAAACATTTATAAATATAACATCATAAAAGGAAGTGAATATTCAAGTTTGCAAACTATTTGTAAAAATTTTTTTTGTTTAAATCTTGTTTTAAAAAGAAAAGGACATTAGAAGACCCAGCCTAAATATGGTAACAGCTTTTCATATGGAAGAAATTAAGAGATTTACTTCTATATGAAAAATTAATTAATTTAATAAGAATTATTGATTTTATAATCAAGAACTGCAAAAAACCATTGTATATAATGACTATGAGAAACTGATTAAACTATGTAATATTTTCTTAGGATATAAGAGAAAAAAAAAATAAATAAATAAAATCAGACCTCTTGGAGCAATGCATCAAGCAAGGTGGCTAAACCTATTTATTCTTTAAAAATATATTTGTTGCAATCCCAGTGCTAAATAAGTGCCAAAGAGCTCTTCAAGATTTGTTTATTCATTACGGTTATATATGTGAAACATGACATGGATTTAGTCAGGCTGTAAAGGCACCAAATCAAAATTTGTGCTTTTTATAGAAGCTTAAGGAGTATAAAATTGTGATGTCAATGAACGAACCAAGGAAAACATTGAAGTGAAATTACAATGTTTTTTGCATGATTTTGGGAAGAGATACATTCCATTGAAAAGAGATATGTCTGCTTATTTGTATGGTAAGTAGAAATATATAGAACTATTTTTGATGCTGTTTTCACTTAACTAATATTAAAACTGCCTTATTTATTGTTGCAGGAAAATTATTAAGTAATTTCACATATGTCAGAAACACGCATTAATTTTTTCATTTAAAAAATAATGTGAAAATCCTCCAGAGATCCCTTTTTATGTTGCCAAATATTACAAGATTAATGTTGTGTAAGGAGAGAATTGAGTGAAAAAGTGGAAGAAAGTAAGAATCAGTTAGGAAAGTAACTTGAAATAATAAATAAAAAAAAAAAAAGTTCTAGTTAAAAGTAAATTAACAAATTTAACATTATTTTAAGTAATTTTAAATTTGTTAATTAATTATAGTAATTTTTATTTATTATCAAATAACCTTTATCACCTCCTATATTTGTGTTTTGTTTTTAGCCCTAGCTTGTGCTCAGTTTCTCCTTGTTTTTCATTAGGTAGTTCAGATCATTCTATGATTTAAGTCATACTTCTATATCAAATACTATCATCACCATATCACACTTCTTACTAGGTTTTCTCCTATTTATGCAGCTTTATATTTGGTCCTGTTTTGTTCTCTATTTATATTAATAATCTTCCTGACAACCTTACCACTTGAGCGGCTATTTTTTGGCAATGGTTGTAAAAATAGTGTCGTACAATCAGTGTCTTTTATGTCTAAAATATCACTTATCACTTTAATAAAATTGGTAGTTTGACTGTTTTAGGTCTGTTTATTTTACTAGTGTGCCATAAAAAGATTGCAACACTATTTTTCTCTCTATTTGCCATATTTTTTATGTGTGCCATAAAAAGTTAGTTATCTAATTACCAAACAAAAATTTCATTTATATGCTTCTAATCATGTTACTTATTTATATGCTTCTAATCATGTTACTTATTTAATTATGAATTAAAGTACGCGGTATGTTTTTTTAAAAGTTGCTGTTTTTAAAAAAAAAAAACAAAAAAAAAAACAACAACAACTTTTTAAATTAATTTAATAATTATCATAATTAATCATAGTTTAATTAACTATTAGAAAAACAAACACCATGTCTAGTTTTTTTCAGTAGAATAACAGAGAATAATGATTCAGTAGTATATTAGAAAATAATGATTCAGCAGAATAGCAGAAAATAATGATTCAGCAGAATAGCAGAAAATAATGATTCAGCAGATTAGCAGAAAATAATGATTCAGCAGAATAGCAGAAGATAATGATTCAGCAGATTAGCAGAAAATAATGATTCAGCAGAATAGCAGAAAATAATGATTCAGCAGAATAGCAGAAAATAATGATTCAGCAGAATAGCAGAAAATAATGATTCAGCAGATTAGCAGAAAATAATGATTCAGCAGAATAGCAGAAAATAATGATTCAGCAGATTAGCAGAAAATAATGATTCAGCAGAATAGCAGAAAATAATGATTCAGCAGATTAGCAGAAAATAATGATTCAGCAGAATAGCAGAAGATAATGATTCAGCAGATTAGCAGAAAATAATGATTCAGCAGAATAGCAGAAAATAATGATTCAGCAGAATAGCAGAAAATAATGATTCAGCAGATTAGCAGAAAATAATGATTCAGCAGATTAGCAGAAAATAATGATTCAGTAGAATAGCAGAAAATAATGATTCAGCAGAATAGCAGAAAATAATGATTCAGCAGAATAGCAGAAACTAATGATATAAAAATAAAATTTTTCTATTGATTTTAGGTCATATTCTTAAGTAAACATTTTTGAAATTAAACATCTCTTGAGATAATTAAGTTAAAAAAATGCTGGAAAAAAAAACAACATCAAAAACAAACATATAGAATAGGTCATAGGCAGAACACAAAAATGCAATATAAATTTAGCAAAAAATTTGATTAAGTACAAACCCATCATCAGGTGACAAAGCTGCTTTAACATAAAAAGATGATGATTGTAGCCCTTCATAAATTGATAAAGGTGTAGAAGACATATTAGAAGTAGAGTATTCATATACAACATCATTTGTACAAACAGCATACAGTCTGGAAGATGTAGAATTAAGAACTAAGGATGTATAGCCTATAAGCATTATATAATAGTAAACATGATGTATAGGATATGAAATGAATTATTATATAATATTCAAAAGGTATAAGATATATATTACATAAAATGAATTAACAAACAGTAGCCAAAATATCTACTATATAAATGATATAAAATGAATATAAAAGGTCAAAATGTCATAACTTTAACCTATTTAAAATATTATTCAAATTATAGCCTACTCATAGGTTTGTTTATATTTAAATAAATTTTAGATTATTTTGAACAAAGAAACATGAAAAGTATAAAAAATCAGAAACTATAAAAAATCATTTTCTACCTTGTAATCCTTTTTTATTCAATATATAGCATATTCAATATTTTATTCATTATATCTTTGTTAAAATTTAATAATATACATTTTATTGTGCCCATATCCATTATTCCCTAAGGAAGCCATATTAAAGAAACTGTCGAACCTAAAAGTCTATAAAAGTCCTGGTTTAGATAAATATATCCAAATATCTTAAAAAATAAGCAGATAGCGTGAGTAATCTTTTATTTATTCTTTTTAATAAACTTCATTTTTTTAAAATACTGACTACAAGTAAACATTACTCTATTATAACTCTGTTAATTCTGATTTCACTTGAGTTGTCAGAAAAACAATGTAAGGAATTAAATTGTATAATCATAAAAAATGAAAACAATACTATTAAAGAAATAATAAATTGAATTAAAAAACTTAATGATATAAGTAATCAAATAATTGTGTCACAAATTTATTTATTTTATAATGTATAAACTACAGTATATGCAACCTTTGGACAAAGGTTGAATATAAACTACAGTATATTCAACCCTTGGAGGAAAAATGAGGTCGACAATAAACTGCAGACTTCAAACTGTTAGAGGTTGGCAAAAAAAAAATTTGACACAAAGGCGTTAAAACAGAAACAAGATCAGCGATTTTTTGCCGACCTTAAACACTTTTGGTTCGGCAGTTAGGTCAGCATCGCCAAATGCTGACCCATATTCTGAGGGCTGGTTTTTTAATCTAGTGTATACTGCCCTTGTGAAAAAATAAAAATGTAGATATAGAATTCTTAGATTTCCCAGGCAATTGTTATGTACTTAATTCATTTGGAATAAACGGTAAGCTGTTAAACCAGTGGAAAATTTTTACATGTTCACCAGACCTACTTGCTCTTTGTGAGAATAATTTGAGTTCAGCTGTCTCATCTTGTGATCTTAGTGTTGATAGTTATCTTCCTTTATTTCGTAAAGACTCCAATAGTCACATGCTTGGCCTAGGCATTTACATTCGTAAGAATTCACCCATTTGTCGGAAAACTAGTTTTGAATCCACAGACTACTCTTTTATGTGCTTTTGTTTAGCACCACTTCACTCTATCACCTTTCTCTTTGTTCTATATCGCTCTCCCTTATCTCAAGACTGCACTCTTCTTGATGTTATTTCTGATTATATTGACCAAGCCCTCATTCTTAGTCCATCAGCCAATATGTTGTTGTCGGTGACTTTAATGTTCATCACACTGAATGGCTTGGCTCTAGTGTCAGTGACTCTGCAGGCATTAAGGCACACAACTTTTGCCTTTCTCAATCCCAACTCAAATAGTCAACTTCCAACTCGCTTTCCAGACAACCCGAATCATTTACTTCTCTACTCGACTTATGTCTTGTTTCTGATCCTAGTCAGTGCTCAGCTTCTTCACACTCACCCTAAGGTGCTTCTGATCATGGTTTGGTCTCTTTAAAACTATTATCTCATTCTTCTTTACCATCAGAATCCCCCTATCATCGTACATCTTACAACTACCTTAAAGCTGACTGGGACTCTTTCCGTGATTTTCTTCGTGATGGCCCCTGGGTAGAAATCTTTCGTCTCCCTGTTGACAAATGTGCTTCTTACATAACTTCGTGGATTCAGGCTGGCATGGAATCCATTATTACCTCTCGACAATTCCAGGTCAAGCCTCACTCTTCTCCATGGTTTTCCTCACATTGTGCTGCTGCAATTGCCAATCGAAACCATTACTTCCATATCAGCAAAACAATTCTCCAGAAAACAGATGTCTGTTTATTACTGCTAGGAACCATTGTAAAAAGGTTTTGTCTAACGCCAAAGCCCGCTATTCTCAGATCATGAAATCTCGTACTTCATCACAAAAATTAGGCTCTCTGGAGAATCTTTAATAGTATTAATAATAAGCGCAAGTCTGTAATTCCACCCCTTTTGTATGGTTCAGACTTTGTCACCTCACCTAAAGACAAAGCTGAACTGTTTGCCAAGAACTTTTCATCAATATCATCTCTTGATGCCACTAGTTGCGTTCTACCTGATATAGCCGTCAAACAGGTTGATCCATTGATTGACATCCGTATCACTCCAGCTTCTGTATCTAAAGTGATTTCCTGCTTAGACTCTTCTACAGCTTGCAGCCTGGACAACATACCTGTTATAGTCTTGCAGTGTTCTCCGGAGCTGTCGCCTATCCTTTCAAAACTATTCAATAAGTGCTTATCAGAGTCTTGTTTTCCAGCCTGCTGGAAAGCAGCATCTGTTATCCCTATTTTTAAAAATTCTGGAGAGCGATCTGATTCATCTAACTACCGTTCAATTAGTCTTCTTCCTATCATAAGCAAGGTTTTTGAATCTTTAATTGACAAACACTTAATCTCTTATCTCGAATCTCATAACCTACTTTCTGATCATCAATATGGATTTCGATCTTCTCGTTCTACGGCTGATTTGCTATCAGTAATAACGGATAGGTTTTATCGCGCATTAGATAAAGGTGGAGAAGTTAAGGCCATCGCTCTTGACATTTCTAAAGCGCTTGATAAAGTTTGGCATGCTGGTCTTCTCCATAAGCTTTCTTCTTATGGTGTATATGGAAACATCTTTAAGATTATTGAATCCTTCCTTTCCAATCGAAGTATAAAAGTTGTCCTTGATGGACAGCACTCTTCTTTTTATTCTGTAACCTCAGGGGTTCCCCAAGGTTCAATCCTTGGCCCTATACTCTTTTTAATTTACATTAACGATCTTGCAGATATTCTCACATCTAAGGTGGCATTGTTCGCTGATGATACTACCATTTATTCTTGTCACGATAAGAAGCCAACTCCCTCTGATTGCTTGCAGGGGGCATCTGGGCTTGAAAAGGATCTTACTTCTGCTACAGCATGGGGCTCACAGTGGCTGGTAAACTTTAATTCAGATAAAACTCAATTTTTTTCAGCCAATCATTATCGCAATAATTTAGACCTTCCTATATTTATGAATGGTAATGTACTCGATGAGTCCCCTACCCTTCATCTTCTAGGATTAACTCTTACTTCTGATCTTTCTTGGAAACCTTATATCAAATCCATTGCAAAATTAGCATCTGCTAAAGTTGCATCTTTTTATTGAGCTCGTCACTTTATTACTCTGGATTCTATTCTCTATCTCTATAAATCTCAAATCCGACCTTGTATGGAATACTGTTGCCATATCTGGGGCGGATCTTCTAATGATGCCCTTTCTCTTTTAGACAAGGTGCAAAAACGCATTGTAAACATAGTAGGACCTGCTCTTGCAGCCAACCTTCAACCTCTGTCACATCGTCGAAATGTTGCTTCTCTTTCTCTTTTCTACAAATACTATAATGGGCACTGCTCTAAAGAGCTAGCGCCTCTTGTGCCATCTACTAAAATTCATTCTTGTGTTACTCGTCATTCAATTAAGTCTCATCCTTTTTCTGTTACTGTTCCTAAGTGCTCCAAAAACTCTTATTCGTCTAGTTTTTTTCCTTGAACATCAGTTCTTTGGAATTCGCTATATATTTGGATTCATATAATTTGCAATCTTTTAAGTCGTCTGTCAATCGTTATCTTACTCTACAATCTTCATCTTTTCTCTTCCAGTAACTTCCAACACTAATTAGTGGTTGCTTGTAGCCTTGTTGGAAGCGAAGATCTTTTTTTTTAAAAAAAAAAACAAAAAAAAAAACATCTAGAAAACCTTAAAGACTTGTCAGATGTAAGTCAGAACGGTCAATATAAGTCATAAATACATAGAAGTTTTGCAGGGATCAGTATTGGGTCCCTTGCTTTTTGTCAAATACATTAATGACCTTACTACTTAACTGAACAAAAATGCAACCCTCTCTGCTGATGACATAAAAGTTATTGAAAACTATAAGTTGATGAAATAAAAGTTACTAAAAACTATATGCTGATGATATTATAAAAGTTATTGAAAACTATATGCTGATGACATAAAAGTTATTGAAAACTATATGCTGATAACATAAAAGTTATTGAAAACCATGCTGATGACATAAAGGTTATTGAAAACAATATGCTGATGACATAAAAGAGAAATAAAAATTATTGCAAAGATCAACAGAAAAGCATAAGTATAAAAAATATTGTTAAAATTTTGTTAGAAATCAATCTCAATACCTTATTTAGTTGAACAACAAAATGGTTATGAAAATTTAATTGCAAAAAAAAAAAAAAAATTATGCGTCTATGTTATGATAATCCTAATAATATATACACTCTTAGTTAGAAAACTTGTTAAAAAAGCCACAAAACCTACTGTAGAACAACACTAGAGTCTATTAGCATCTATCGATGATCCTAAATGGGGATGGCACATTAAAAATATTGTGAACAAAATTTAAACTGGCATAATAAAGCACACATTTAGATACCTTAATCCAAACATATTGAAACATACATCTTATGTTTTAAAACATACATTAAGTATGGAATCTGTATTTCAGAAAAGACATAAACTTAAAAAAAATACAGCAAAATATGCATCTGAAAGAATAAAAAGAGACAATATTGTTTAAATGTATAAGTTCACCAATAAAATAGACATTAATTGGCAAAATCCACTAAAAAAACAAAACAAAAACAAAAAATGCTAAAACAGGATAAGTAGAGCAATCGATGTAAATTCTCTCTAAAGAACTTTCTTTATTACATTGTATAGACAAATATATATATTACTATAGATACTGCGTTGTATAGACAAACATATATTACCATAGATACTTAAAAACCTCTTGACAAGAAATATTTTGGTTTATACTTAAAAAAGATATATATATATATATATATATATATATTTATATATATATATATATATATATATATATATATATATATATATATATATATATATATATATATATATATATATATATATATATATATATATATATATATATATTTAAAACGCTAATTTATTTGTGCAAGTCATGAAAAGGTAATTCAAAACACATGGTTTTAAGTTATTTTAAAATAATAGAAAACTTTTTAAAATATTAAAAACATCAAAAATAACTTTGGTATGTTAATCTTAGCAATGATAAACAACTTTTTAACTTTTCGTTATCACTTTTTAACTTTTCATTAACAATTTTTAACTTTTCATTACCACTTTTTAACTTTTCATTACCAATTTTTAACTTTTCATTAAAAGTTACCAAAACAAGTAAAACTGTGAAATAGTATTTTTTGTTTGATCCAAAACTTTTTTTTACATTTCAGTAATTCATACTTGTTAAGAATGTTTTCTATGAATTCTGTGTTAACAATTTACAACAAACTTTTATTTTTCTTATTAACATGCAATCATTAGTTTAAAGATCATTAGCTTATTCTTAAAACAACAAATGAGCTTAAAAAAAAGAAGCCAACATTTTTTTAAAAGAAATACATTTGTAAAAAATACATTTGTACTTAATTATTAACTAACCATGTTTGCGATGGCTTTTTCCAGGAAATTGAATAACATGGTACGCAACTGGTTCACCTTTATGAACTGTATAGACCTTGCGGATATCCCAATATTTGAGAGCACCATCACATGCACCAGAAGATATAATAATGTTTTCATTTTGAAACAAAGCTGCTGTTACACTTGTCTTCAGGTCCTAAATGAAGTGAACAAAAAATTTCTATTTACTTAAGTTAAAAAACCAACATTTAGATTAAAAAAAATTAGAAACTAGAAAAATAACTTACAAATAATTAAACACAAATTAATAATGAAATAACTTAACATAAACTTACAGTTGAATTATACATAGAATTGCGGCGAGACTTTCTTTGCTTTACAGGCAACTGAAAGTTTTGTTGGATACAATGAGCATTTGTTATTGTATTAACTGGATTGTAAAAACCATTTTTCATATAGCATCTGGTATCCCATGACATAATGTTACCATCTCTCGCACCAGTTAAAAAAACAGCTACAATAAAAAATAACTTAAAGTAAATAGGTTTTATTTTTGTTTTATGTTTTTATTAATATTTCATTTATTTTTTTCTTCTTATTTTAAGCTAAGTAAAATGCACATTTATTGACTGAATTATATAGGTACAACTGGTGCTATTGTAAATGTACTGAACTTTTAAGGATAAATGCAGCAGAGTGTATATACAATTACAAACCAGGGGCTATTCTAGACTGTTTTTGACAGCATTTACCGTATTTGGGCACCACCCAAATTAAAAATAGAGGACTTTTTTTTTTTTTAATATTTTTATGGCAAATATTGTTTTTTCGTGAAAAACGAGTACAGCTGCCCAAATTTTTTTTTTTTGAAAACCAGTATTATAATATTTTATCTTATGAATATTTTCTTCCAGGTTGTAAAATAACAATACAAATTCAAATTAACTATATATAACAATATATATTATACATTGAATATTTTAAAAATATTTTAAGTAATATCTATTAATAGTAAGTTTATAATACTTTATATATCATAAATTTATACATACATTTACTATTTATTAAATGCTGGCATATATATGCATATATTTTTAAACTAATTAACTTCCAACAAACAACCACTATTATGTTATGAGTAACTAGAAAAAAAAGGATAGGGTTTTAAGATCAAGGTAAACTGATGACTTAAAAAGTTGTAGGTTGTATGGGTCAAGAAAACATGAAGATGGGTAAAAGTTTTGAGGTGAGAGATACAACCATACAACAATGGGAGAGCTTACAAGATAAAGCAGGTCCAACTACATTTTACAATGTGCTTTTGAACCTTGTCTGTGCGAGGATTGTTACTCGTTGTGTGGGAGTGAGAGAGTATAGAAATGTCAACATTATTGCAATTATTAGTTATTTGCAGTAAATAAATGAGTTTTGTTGGAATTAAAATCCACAAGCCACTGCAAACTCTAAGCTGTTACAGAAGAGAGATTAAAGTTCAGTTGCTTAAGCTTTCAAGAATGACTTAAATACTGCGGTTAGAAAGAAATGATTTAATAACCTCAAAACCTTTGTATAAAGAAATTAATAAAGTGAAGAAATTAATAAAGTGAGTGAAGACTAATCTTAGGATGGTTAAAAAGGTCAGAGTGTTTTTCAACGTTTGTATTGTTCTCAAGTTTTTTAAAATCGGAACAAATTATTTAGCACTTATTAATAGCTTAGCTATAATTAAAGTTATGAACAGTTTTGTAAGACTATGATGGAAATGTTGTCTGAACTAAAAGTCGTTGAAGAATTTATACAAGAAGTGACTTTAGCATTGGAAGCAGTTTTTTGTAAATAAGGCTGTCTTTTTTTATTTTATTTTTTTATTTTAATTCACCTCCTCAAGGCCGAAAAGGCCACTACAGACGAAGAGGCTACTTATTTGTGGTAACAACCCTCTCTCAACTCTATAACTCCGAAACACGAACCTTGACGAACGAGGCCGCTGCGCAGAGAAACAAGTTGAGCGCGGTACTACCAGGGACGTGGTGGGAATCAAACTCGGAACCACTCGTATATGAAGCAAGCGCTCTACCACTACACCACTAACGCATGTCTTACTTAGAGGACAGAAGTAATAAAATCAGACCAATGAATTGAAGATGGAAAGGATAGCCACGCTTTTTTGAGTTAAAAAATCAGAAGAATTTAAGAAATTTGAAGATATTTCTAAAGATTTTTTAGGAGATTTTACCAGGAAACTTGGGAAAACGAATAAAAAAAATTAGGATCATTTCAGAGGATTTTAAAATAAAAAAATGTTGTGTCTAATAATGTTTATCAGAAAAGATTATAGTGGTTTAGGGATCAGCATGTAGAGAGGTAGAAGCTTCAGGAGAAATTGATTGAGGTAGAAGTAAGAAAACATGAAGAGAGTCTGTTACACATGGTACTAACAAGCTATAGTTAAGGAAAAAAAAATGCTTGAGATTGTTTGTATTAGAGAAACAACATAAAAGGAGAAGCTTGATGATGATAACGATGATGATGATGATGATGATGATGATGATGATGATATATATATATATATATATATATATATATATATATATATATATATATATATATATATATATATATATATATATATATATATATATATATATATATATATATATATATATATAAATATATATATATATATATATATATATATATATATATATATATATATATATATATATATATATATATATATATAAAATAACATGTATTTTGAACTAAAAAATTTTAAAACTAACCAGGATGAACAATAACCTCTACTTTCTTTTATTTTTTACTAACTAGTTTATCAATAACTTTATCCATGTGTTTGGTGTTGATGATGATGATAATTCAGCATTGGCCCCAGTCAAAGTTCAACTTCAATTGCTTACTATATATTAACATATATATATATATATATATATATATATATATATATATATATATATATATATATATATATATATATATATATATATATATATATGCATATATATATATACATATATATATATATATATATATATATATATATACATATATATATATATATATATATATATATATATATATACATATATATATATATATATATATATATATATATATATATATATATATATATATAATACATATATATATATATATATATATATATATATATATATATATATATATATATATATATATATATATATATATATATATATATATATATATATATATATATATATATATATATATATATATATATATATATATATATATATATATATATATAGGGGTGGGACCGCAAAATGTGAACACTTTTCTGATTGTAATAATTAATTTTCTGTTAAATATGAACTATTTTAAATGTTCAATTTGACCTCCTTGATTCTCGTAGATCATTTTACAACGTTTAGACCAACTCTTTAGACACTTTCTGATGAGTGAGAGAAGGATGTTCTTCCATATGTCAATAATGTGGCGTTTCAAGCCGTCGATTGTCTTTACTTTTCGATCTTTTAACTTTTCAAGCATATATCCCCAAATACAAAAGTCCATTGGAGCGTTATCTGGACTAAATGGTGTCCACATTTCAGGTGGAATGAATTTGATTCTATTGTTGTTTAAAAATGAAATTGTCTTTTTAGATGTATGGCTCGGCGCAGAGTCTTGTTGGAATATGAAATCTTTTTTAGGATATAAACGCTTGCAATCTTCACTGAAAAATGGTTTTAAAATGTTATCAATATAACAATCTGCATTAATTTTAACACCTTGTTTAACAAATTTAAGTTTTGTGGTTCCATTATAACAAATTCCGCCCCATACCATTATTGCCTTCGAAAAACTTTTAGGTCTTGTTTTAAACTTTTTGTGAATGTTTTTTCTATCTCTACTATAATAATAATCATTTTCTTGATTACAATTTGAAATGTGGAATAGTTTCTCGTTTGTTGTTATTATTTTTCGCTAATTTCTCTTTATAAAATTTGATAAACGAGCAGATCTTTGAAACCTCTTTTCTTTAGCAGCCGGAGACAAATCATGAACTTTTTGCTTTTTGAATTTGTGTAATTTGAATCTTTTTTTGATATAGTTGTTAATTGTTCTTCTGCACACACCAAACAATCGTGCAAGATGTGAAATTGATGGGCATGAGTCTTTTAAAACCAATCTTTTGAGTTTTTGAATTTGAGTACTTGAGAGCTTTAATGGCGGCACGTGGCGTTTCTTCTTTATTTGATCATTTGCAATTTTTTGGTGGTCTAAAGTAATCTCATTCTTTAACTTACTTATATAACCAATTGATACATCGATTCCTTTTTTGTTTAATATGGTTTTGATTCATCTGTAACTAATTTTATCCATGATCATTGAAATTATACGGCTTTTTAGAATTAATTTATATTTTGAAGACGGCATGTTTATAAGTGTTGTGACTTTGTTTACATATTCATTAGTACTTTGTCTTTCGTTTTTTATCAAATAAACTCAACTACATCTAACGAGAAAATAGTTATAATAAAACAAAAACGTTCACATTTTGCGGTCCCACCCCTGTATATATATATATCAAGCCTTCCCAGGAAAGGCGTGTGGTTTTTCGTCTCGTACAACCACGAAAATGTTTTTCAAGTTAGAGAATGTGATCATAGCCTTTATCGCAAGTTTTATTATATGCGTTACTGAAAAATTGTTTTAAACTTAATAACTACATAAGAAAAAGTAAACTTATATAGAAAACAATAATAATAGTTTAAATAATTTGTGTGTTGTTTTTATTTTTGTTTTTTCTTAGTGGTTATTATTATCAGCAACAAAATTCATTAAGTCAAAGCAAAAAAAAAAAAAAAAAAAAAAAAAAAAACGGTTTTAGGCGTTAAAAAGGATGACTTTCCTATATTTTATGTATTTTTTCTTTTATATAGGAAAGAGAAAATATGTATCGTCATCTGTTTGTGAAATATATTTGTATAATTATAATGTAACAAGTTTATATCAAGAGTTAAATTATACGATCGTGATTTGCAAACTGCAAATTGCAAAGCTGTGTACTTTGTTTATAAGGAGCAAATTATTAAAAGTTTGCTAGCGAGAAAGTTACAAAAAACAAAACAAAAACAATAAACTGGGGGAGGTGTATTTGATTCACATGTGATTAAAACAAAGATTTATATTAGCCGTTTTTTAATATAAATAAACTAAGAAATGCCACCCTCTCCTAACCCTGTGAATAAAATACACCTCCGCCAATAAAACTTACGACTACAAAAGTAATAACACTTTAGTCACTAACTGCATTATAAAAGTAATAAAACTATAATAGTGTTCTTACATTTATAAAGCACTTATTACTTTTAAAGTTCATTCTTTGTTCAAATAACATTATTAATTCCAAACATTTATTAAAGTAGAAAAGCATCTAGAAAAAATAAAGCGGATATTTAAATAATATCAAAAATTTCAGGAACTTTTACATATCACCTAAACAACGTTATAAAAAAGTACTTTATAAAAAGTATAGCGTTATGAAAAATGTTACGTAAAAACGCGCATTAATTTTAAAATCAACCAATAAAAATTTGTATTAGTTAATTTTAAAATTAAAAAGTAATAACACTATTATAGTGTTATTACTCTTGTAATCGTAAGTTTATTGTTTTATTTTTTCGCTAACAAATTTAAGTTGATTCTCCCCTTAAAAAAAAGGAACACGGTTTTGTATAAACTAAAATTTTGAATGCTAGATATTTTTCCAGACTTTGCGTTTTGCATTTGCTTAATTTAACCCTTGTTGTTGCATTTAAATTATACAAATAAATTTTACAAATACATTGCAATTTGTATTTTTGCTATCCTCTTAAAAAAAATTAAGAAAAGGAAAATCATTCTTTTTATTGTAGACTTCAAACTGTTTTTTTTTTTCTTCCCCTTATCTAATTTTGTTGCTAAATGTAACTCTAAAGAAACAAAAATAATTTGCTTTTATTTTTTTCTATTTCAATCTCTTTGTTTTGTTACTTTTTTTTTTTTTTTTTTTCAGCATTATTATAAAACTTGCAAACAGCCGTGTTCATGCTTTCTAAAATATCATAATCGCGCGTGGTCATAAGAGACAAAAAACCGCACGCCTTTCCTGGGAAGGTATGATATATATATATATATATATATATATATATATATATATATATATATATATATATATATATATATATATATATATATACATACATATATACAACATCAACGTTTACACAAAGCTGGTCTTTATGACCAATGTAACACCTTGGCTAATATTATTGCTCAACTTATTGCTATCCAGAAAGCATCTTACTACAGAAATAAATATAAATATGCCAATAGTAAGAACAGTAAGTGGTCGCATGCCGCAGACTATCAATCCCAATCAGCAATTTACCCACAGATACTGAATTTGGTGCAAAACTAAATGTGCAACTTTCAGATATAGTTTGGCAAGGAATTAATAAGCCAGATTTATCACCTTATTTCAAAACAATCGCCTCTCCACCAGTAAACAACTCAAACGCATCAAACTGACGCCAGCCGGTCATGACAGCATATCTGACAAACTATTCTATGCGGCACATTTTGAACTAGTCAAAGCCCTTGTTATAGTTTTTAACCATTGTATCAACAAATGCATTGTACCATCTGAATGGCTTTATGCAAACATCATACCTATTCCAAAAGTCAATAATCCTTCTCAATCATCTGACTACCAGTAGAATATTCCAAAATATTGTACTATTATTTTTTTGTAAACTCAAATCAATATTTATTTCAAGAAAAGATTATATATATATACATATACATATACACATATATATATATACATATACATATACATACATATACACATATATATATACATATACATATGGTAATATATATATATATATATATATATATATATATATATATATATATATATATATATATATATATATATATATATATATATATATATATATATATATATATATATATATATATATATATATATATATATATATATATATATATATATATATATATATATATATATATATATATATATATATATATATATATATATATATATATATAGGAAAAAGATTTGGGCGGCGGTACTCCCCCCCTTTTCATCAGACTTTAGCAGAAAATCAGCTTTTTTTTGCGATATTTGTTGTAAAAACGTAAAAAAAAAAGTTAAAAATTCTAATTTGGGCAGCACCCAAATCAGCGCCTAAATACTGCAGACGCTGTCGAAAACGATCTAGAACAGCCCCTGATTACTTACAACAATAAATTTTTAAAATATTCAAGGACTTCACTAAATTTTATTAAAACGTTTGTAAACATTTTCATTACACCAACTTTATTTTATAGAGCAAAATCAGTGTTACGATCACTGTTTCTCGTGTACAAAACAATTGCTTAACATTACAATTTTATTGATTGTGCATGATTTCTTCTAATATGAAAATAACATGTTTAGTCATACAAGTTGTTTTTACTAAACCACTATTTTACTGATAATATGATCTCTTTTAATATGAAAATAACATGTTTAGTTATGTGATTTCTTTCTATTTTTGATAGTACTATAGCAAAGAAAATATAGAAAATATAAAAGAAAATAGCAATAGAAATAGCAAAGAAAATAGTGAAGAAAACAACAAAGAAAACAAGAGAAAACAATGAAAAAAATATTTAACTTATTGTTATTTATTTTGCTCAAACTTGTTGGAGCGTAGAATAAAACTTATTCTTTATTCAGGTACCATCTTTAAAAGATGATACCAGATTTATATTATGTTTATCTAACAGTGGAAGTTTTCCTTAAGTATTATAAAAAGTTAAAAAAAAGTTATAAAAAGTTATAATTTATATTCTAAAAAACTAGAGTATTAATTTAATAGAGCTTTGATATTTGCAACATTTTGACTCATTATAATTTACTTGCTAACTCCATTGCTTTTGACTTGCTAACTCCATAGCTAGGAAGTTAGAAAAAAATATAATGGGGTATAACAAAGAATAACAGTTTACATTGCTTCATAACAGTGTAGAACATTGCTTCATAATAGTGTAGAGTTTAGAACAAGATTAGATTATGAGACTATTATACTATTTGATAAAATAAATTTATAATAAAATTATTTGACAATACTATTTGATAAAATAAATTTATAATAAAATTATTTGACAATACTATTTGATAAAATAAATTTATAATAGAATTATTTGACAATACTATTTAATCAAATAAATTTATAATAGAATTATTTGACAATACCATTTGATAAAATAAAACACACATAAATTATTTGATAAAATAAATTTAAGATAATTAGTTCAGAGTTTAACAACTTATTGTTGCTGAAAAATTTAGAAATACTTTTTTTCATTCTAGGGAAAAAAAACATTAGAATACAAGCTTTTCACAAAACCTTCTTACCCCAAGTTAATAACAATTGCTGATGTTTTTTAGCCATGTAAGAAAGAAAAAAACTATATTTAACCAGGGTCAAGCCACAAAAAACAAAACTGTTACAAAGCATTTAAGATTTAAAAGTTTTTTTTATTTATTATTATTATTTTTATATAGTATTTATGTATCAAATACTTTTATATTAAATTTTAATATTAAAAATAAGTATTGTATGAAAAAATTAAAACCTGTTATATGCAATGAAAAAGTCGATTAACAACTTAGAAGATAAAAAGTTACCACTGCTATTTGGTTGTACAGCCACTGATTTCAAGCTGCAAGTGTGACCACGAAAAATAGCAGTTGTTTCTGATTTTTCAATATCCCATACTCTTGCAGTTTGATCACCTGAAGCAGTGGCCTAAAATAATAATAAAAAAAATATTATAAATTAAACATTTGAAATAAAATAGAAGCAAATAGTCACAAAACTAATTTATGAAAAAGATATGAATTTTTTAATTTATTACTTTCTTTTTTAATTTTTATAGAAAATATAGTTAATAATTTATTGAAGTTGACTTGGAAATTGACATTATTTGGTTCTCTATGATTGAGTGAAGTTCACAGTTAATTTAAAACATGAATAAAGCACATAAATAAAACTGTATACCTGTTTATATTATAAACTGTATATCTGTTAATATTTTAAACTGTATACCTGTTTATTTTATAAACTGTATACCTGTTTATATTTTAAACTGTATACCTATTTATATTATAATTATTTTTATAATTAATTTATTGTGGAAATTAAAAACTAACAAACAAAAAAACCCACAAGTAGCTGTATATAGATAGTGGCCTGAGTAAAGAAAACAAAAAATTTTTAAAAAGGCGCAAACATGACAAATGATAAGTCAACCAAGCATGTTTCTTATTTTGAAAAAAGCAATTATTAAAGAAGCCAATTAAATTAACATTTCAACCACACTACTATTAAAAATGACAAAACATCAAATATGTCTGCTGAATGCTGACTTATATCTGAAAATGCCTAATTTTCATGGGTTAAATATTGCTTTCAGTGAAATAAGAGACATGCTATCTTAATATAAACAATAGTTTAGGTCTCTTAGAAGTAGAGTTGCAACCCCCAAAAAAACGGTGTGTTTTTTTAAAAAAAAACACGTTTTTTTTGCAAAAAAAACAGACTGGTTCTAAAAACATGTTTTTTATAGTTTTTTTTTGCTTTTTTTTAGTATTCATTAAATTTTAGATAATAATAATACTTGAAACAGTTCCAGTGCCCTTAAACCTACAAAATACAAATGTTTTCTATTTAATAAAATGCATATTAACTTATATAATAGCTGTTACAAACTAATCACCAATATTAAAAAAAAACAGTATTAAATATTTAAAAAAGTAATTTTTTAAATAAATCTCAAAAAAACTATACTATTAGCTACTAGTTGATTGTAAGTATAATACTACTGAATGAAGGAAATACAAATGTTATTTTAGCAGTGTTATTTCATTCATAAAAATGAATGAAATAACACATATATTACATATATACATAAATTGCAAAATACAAAAATGAACCAACTGTTAAATAAAATTTACTTTAATGTTTTATTTACTTTTGTATATTACTTTTTTAAATTTTTAATATTTAATTTCTTTATTTTATTTTAAATTGCAATTAGATAGCTAAAATTTTATTTATTCAAACAATATTCAAGTAAATAAAAATAACACAATGATTAACTTTGTCTAATGAAAAAACATTTATATTAAACAATTTGTAATCTATTAATTATTTTTAATTAAAAAAAAATATGCCAGGCAATAGAAGACCTTAATGAACAAGAAAGCCAGAATACAGAATCTGTTATTAATTAAAAATAAATCTTTTAAATGATGTACTATATATTTACCATATATCATGTTATTAATATATATTATATTACATTTATAATAAAAATAAAAATTAAATAAAAGTAAATAATTTTTTTTTTAATCTAAAAAACAAAAAAAACCATAAAAAACACAAAAAAAACACAATTAAAAAAAAACGGTTTTTTTTGCAACTCTACTTAGAAGGGATCCCTAAAAGTTAAGACAAGCTGTGTTCTAAAAAAAAAAAGTTGACAGAAGATACAAAAAACTGTAAATTGTATGAGTTAAGAAAACATAAAGATGGGAGAGATCTTTAGAAAAACAAATATGACAACAGCTATACAGCTATAAAAGGGCGAATAAAAAATTAAACTCTAAAACACAAACCTTGTTAATCAAGGTTGTTTTTCTGAAAAACAGATTGAGTTCTTCCAGAGGTACTTCTCATGATTGCGAGTCAAGTGTTCTGCATTTAAATATGACATGAAAAAATTAAAGCAATTTTTAACAACCAGTTGGCGATCTTGGTGTAAATCAGTTTTCAATTAAAACCAAAAAAGGCACTTGGAAGAACCCATTTTTTAGTTATTAACTATAAATAATATCATACTTTGATATTACTTATAGTTAATAACTTGATTTTTAATGAATTCAGCTGACAATTTATTTTGGTGAAATTTTGAAGTTAATCTGTTATGTGTAAAGAGTAAAAAAATCATGCTGTATATCTTTTTTGTTGTTGCTTCTTTTGTTGGCTGTAATTGCATTTTGATTGTTTCTCTAAATAAAACTTGAGTTTACAATGCTATTTAAAGCTGAGTTTTCAATGTTATTTAAAGCTGAGTTTTTAAAAATTTCAGAATTGTAAGAGTTAAAATAGTTTTAAACAAATTTTAAAAAATTTGATTGGTTTAATAGTTGTTTTTGGTAAAACTTAAAGTTCAAGTTGAAACTTACTCAAGGTTATAGCAGTATGATTAATTAATACTTTTGTAGTCTACAATATGAAATTAATTTCATTTTAAAGTACTGATAACTTTTAATAAAAAGGCTTTTAAAATATGCGCAGGTTTTTAACAAAGTAGACCGCAGGATAATGCAAATACAAGAGACTACTGGTTGCTGCTTGTTTCTTGTCTAAATTAACCATTTTCATGGCTTTCCAGAATTTATTAGGGTCTTTTTTTATCTATTTTTTAACTAATTTTTTGTAATGCTTGTTTTTAAATTTTTTTTACGTGTTGCTTCAATGTATTGTTAATTGTTCAAACTTGATGGACTAATAACTATAACTCAGATTCAGAAGTTCAAACTTGACAATCTAGTCTTATTTGTTGAATGCATAAAAGTAAAACATAAAGTCTCTAACAAAAAGCAGCTTTAAATTTTGACTCAAAAATCTATCAAAAAAGCTGCTAAAGCTTTTTGAAAAAAAAGTTTTTAGCCTAAATGGTACATACTGGTCCAAAAGATACAAATTCTGATTGAATGTCAAATACTCCGAAATGATGAAATTGATGTTAAGTGCTTTATGCCTTATTAGCATTTTACAAAGAAGTTATTGAAATGCCTGCAGCCAGAGAATTTAAAGCTGATTTACTAATGACACAAGTGTCCTGGTATGCAATTTTTACATCAATATCTAACAGAAAATGATGATCCAGAATAGCAATGTAAAAGTGATGAAAGTAATGTAAATAAACAGTCAAAAGTTGATTTCAAAAAGTTAACAATAACAGATAGAAATGATTTATTAACAATAAAGCATTTGTTAAATAAGTTCAGAGCTTCAGTGTAAAAAGCTTGATAAAACAACTTCTTGTTAGTTTATTACAAATTGAAGAAGTTATCATTACAGAAATATATATATATATAAATATATATATATATATATATATATATATATATACACATACATATATATATATATATATATATATATATATATATATATATATATATATATATATATATATATATATATATATATATATATATATATATATGTATAATAAAAAAACCTCATGTTACCATTTTTGTGTCATTATTTACCCACGCAATATCAAAAACAGCATTGGAATGTGCAGACCATTCTAAAAATACATAACTTATACTTTATCTGTTTAAATTTAGAAGCTAAATAAAAAAAACAAAAACAGAACATTATAAACAAAATATTATAACTCAAGGGCTATTCTAGGAAAATACTTTGATGGCGGTACCCTCTGTTATAATGAGGAATACCTTATCAGCCGCAAATTAAAGAACTTAAATCAAGGAATACTTTATCACCAGCAAATTAGGAAAATTAACTTTATAGAAGTAAAGATTTTTTAACTTAGGTCCTCTGAAAGGTTATGTTATTTTCAAGAACTATCAAAAATGTAAAATAATTAAAATTTATTTGTTTACCAACTACAAAAAAATCTGACATGTTGAATTTACCACAAATTAATTCTTAAACTAATGAACACAGCTTACATGGTTTAATTTGCATTTTAACAATCTTTGAAAATACATATCTTTTAAGCTTTAAAAAAAAATTATAAAACTGAAGTAATATTCTTTTGTATATGCATTAATTATAAACATTTATTAGGAGAATAAATTTATTTTTAAAGATTTTTAAATAAATCTTCGATAAACAATTGTTACATTGTCTAGAAGTTATGTTTTAAAGTAACTTGTCTAACGCAATACTACATAATAAACAAAATTATTGGGTCAAAATAAATTTCTAAATAAATATTAATATATTGTGAACACTGTTTATAGTAAATGTTTATTTATTTGTTTTTGTTTATTTATATAAATAACATTAACACTATTTATAAAACAAACAAAAATAACTTAAAAACATCATCTTAGGTATAAATTTTGTACTTCAAATAACGTAAAGGATTTTATTAACTAAAATTTTATTAAATATTTTATTAAATAAATATTTTATTAAATAAATATTTTATTAAATAAAAATAAGTATTTTTATGGAATTAATTCTATTTGTTAAAAATATTTAGTTTTACAATATTTTGATAAAATATTGATATACTTTTTATCAAGTATATTAAAATTTTTAATAGCCTATAATAGTCAAATTAGGATCAGACAAAATTTGGGGAGATATGTAAATGTTTTTATAAAAGATTGAATATAATAGCAATGTGCCGAAATAATAAATTTGGATTGTTTTGTTTCAGCCAATTGTGAAAGCAGTTCCAGACCTTCCGATTGTCATGCATTTTTACAGCAGGAAGTAGAAAATGCATTGTGACTTTCTTTACTGCTGATTTCCTTTACTTTGTGACTGCTAATCTCAACAAACTTCTGTAAGTTTGTTGTGATTAGCAGCCACAAACCAAAGGAAATCTTTAAGAGAGTTTTAATAGTTTTTAAGAAAGTTATTTAAATTTTTAGCTTTACATTTTTAAGTGAAAATATTTAAAAAATAAAAATTCAACCTACACAAGCTATTTCTTTTAAAAACCAAAGAACTATTCAATACGCAATATTTTTATAGTTGGGTTTTTAACTTAGTATGTAAATTATGACTTATCAAAAATAATAGATACATGTTTAATAAATCAAAATCTTTTTTTATAAACTATAAAAATTTTTTTGTTTAAATTTGAATTATGTAACACAAAAACAATTTCAAAAGTATTGAACTCATTTATTCAAGTTTTAATTACAAAAGCTTCTTCTTAGATCAATATAATTATGACCAAGATAATGATCACAATTATATTGATAATTATGATAATGATGACAAATGTTGACAAATGTTCACTTAAAACATTTGTCAACATTTTTAAAGTAAAACATGCAACTTATGTTTGACTTAAGGAACAACAACAATTAATTAAACTTAATCAACAACAATCAATTAAAGAAAAATTAAATAAATTATAGAGCAGGAACAATCTATTATTGAAAAATCACAAGCTATAATCTCACCTTTAACCAAAGAACTGTTTTTTGTTTTTCTAGAATCAATAAGTTTCACATGCCCATCTTCATCAGCAACACCAAGCATATTTCCATACAAGAGTTCTAAAACGAATGTTAAAAAGTAATTAAGATATTTGTATTATTATTAATAACTATAAGTTGTTATGAGTTGCTAGCCTAGAATAGATTCAGTGCTATCATAAATAGGAACTTCAATAAACAACACACACACACAAAAAAAAAACACTTGAAAAATCTTAACAGAAATGTTTAGAAACCAGTAACCAGTCAGTACCCAGCCAGGCATCCAAAAAAAATTTGGTCTAGCATTTATAAAAAGCAGGAAAGGGTAAAAAGCTTTTGTTTATTTTTAGGGTTAAGAATCTATTACATTTAAATTACATAAGTGTCATGCCTCATAATATATTATAATACATCATATAAAATAAAAAAGCAGCAATATTATAAAGATAGAAAATAGCTCCTGTGTTTCACTTAATAATTCAAAAATCAATAAAATCTGCACTTAAACTTTAACATGATGAAAAATAACTTGAACAAAAAAAAATAAAAAAAAACATGAACAAAACATCTTGTTAAGCCAACAAATGTTCACTTAAAACAATTCAGTATCAAATATATTTTTTGTACTTTGTATAAAGAAATTAATTTGTACCTCGACTACTTAACTTACTATAAACAACAACAATAAAAACATTAATTTTCTGATACCCTCTAAAAAAGTTCTGATAATTCTATATAAAAAAATAAAAAAAGTATTATACTTAATTGCATAAGATGCTCAAAGCATTATGTTTTACCCTCTTATTATAGAAATTATTTTTCCACAAAAAAAAAATTTCATTACTTTTCTGGATATTAAATTATATTAACTAACAAGTTTTAGATTTAACGCATAAATGTCAGACTTAAAGAAACACAAAACTATGCCCATATTAAACTAGTGTTTTTTATAACTTTTTAAAAGGATAAGTATATAATTTTGTAAAATGTTTTTAGACACATACTTCTTGCTTATCAGATATCTTGCTTATAAGTCAACATTTAGTGGTAGGAAGTTCATCAACAAAATCCACTATGAACACGTAGAATGGTGAGAAGCTCATTAACAAAATCCACTATGTAACTTGTAACATTTAAAAAAAAGTTTTATAGAAATAAAACCTTTTGAGTTTTTCTAGGTTTCTATATTAAAAAAAAAAAAGAACCTAGAAAAAAAAACAATAAATCATTCATTGAAAGTTTCCAGGAATGACATGCAACTGCATGCACATGTCTCTGCACACAACATAGATTACTTGTCTAATCTAACACTTGCTTAAAGTAAAGCTGACAAAAAAACAAGGAGTGCCTATTCTAAAATTATTTTTTTAAACTTATAAAAATAAAACACCAATATCACACTGAGACTTTGACTTCTTTCTAGGTAAATAAAAAAAAACAAAAGCAAAATACAAATCGACACCTGCAGTTTCACTTTATTCACTATCAACAAAATTTACAACTTTAAATGGGAGAACTTTAAAAGATATTACGCACAATTTTATAAATAGAAAAACTATTGGTTCATTATTTCTTCTTAACACTAAAAAAACAACAACATTTTAATTAAAAAAATTTAGCTGATTTTGAATCTTTAAATAATTATTTTTCCAATTTAATTCCTTTGGCAAATGATTTATTTAACAAAAAAAAAATTAATGAAAATACTAACTTAGTATTTTTATTATTTATAAATATCTGTTTTGTTACTTTTAAACCCTTTTGTTGCTAAAAATAACAAGCAGTCATCCTAAAAATATGAAAACAAAAACAGTAAATAACTACATAACAAATCTATGAACACTTTTACAGTCCGTAGCACACATCATTTTTAAAAGATCGCGTACAATTCTGCATGTTTCTGGTTTTTATATTAATGCCACTTCGTTGCCTCTAACTAATTTGTATTTTGCTACCTCTAACTAATTTGTATTTATAACAGATTTCAAAAACTTCTAAAAATTTATTAAATTTAAATGACAAAACTATGCAACATTTAGTTTTACGGGAAAATTTAAATAGAATTCTTTAACTTTAAATATATATAAATATTATTCTAAACTTTAAATATATATAAATATTATTCTAAGTATTATTTACATATCACATTAAAATAGGTATCACAATAAAAAAACTTACCATCACTAAACTTTGCTACAAAAGGGGGTAATGGCATCTAAAAACAATAAAATTCAATTAAACTATGTTACAAAAAAGTTTATTTTTATACTTATATATAACCAATTTTTTTTTAAACTTTAAACTTTAAAGAAAAACCAAAAAAAAAAAGTGATTGTTTAAAAAAAAAAAAGTTTAAATCCATAATTACTCTGAGGATATATAAACTATAAAAAGCAACATAAAACAATAAGACTATTTTACGTTGAAAAAAATCCAAATCCAATTATTTTTTTAAGTCATGGAAGAAGCAAAAAAAGAGGAGGAGGGGGTTGGAAGGGCAGACCAAAAGCTTACATTTTAAAATTAATACTTTTTAAATGTTACTAATTATATATATAAATAATAGTATCATTAGTAATTATTAAAATATAAATTTTTATTTATAGTAGGCTGTGCTTGGTTTAACATTCCTAGATACTTGCTGACATTATCTAAAAGCTATTGAAATAGAGTATATAAAGAATATATAAATAATAAATGATAGGGTGAGATATATATATATATATATATATATATATATATATATATATATATATATATATATATATATATATATATATATATATATATATATATATGGGCAATTTCTAAGACGCAAAATGAAAAAGTAGTAAAATTTTAACACATGAAAGACACATGAAAGTTTAATAAAAATATCTAATACTAAAATAAATTCAAATCGTTTTAATGGTTCCGAAAGTTAAAGTTTTCTCATTTTTGTATAATAAAAAAAGTGTTATTGTAAAATCTTAATTTAACCATGAATTTATTTGCATAATTATTTTAGTGTGAAAATAGAGCTAACATGTTCAATTTAACAATGGTCAAATATATTACTTTTTAAATGAATAAAAAAATTCAAGCAAATAACGATAGAACTTTTGCAATTTTTATGTAAAAGTTAACAAAAACACAATAAAAATTTGTTTTTTCTAAAATTTAGTTAAAAAACTTTTTAATAATCTATGTGCAAGAATATTTAATTTTATTTTTTCATATTTAAAGTTTTGAATAACAATGCTGAGTTAAAACACATTTTAATATTGAATTTGTGTAACATAAGTTAAAATTTACCAAAATTCTGGCACTTTTTCTTTAAATTTTGTTTTAAAATATTTTAAACTCCTCTTTGGGAGTTTACAATATTTTAAACTCCCAAAGAGTTTAAAATATTTTAAATATATATTTTATAAAGTTATGATTGTTTATAAAGAAGAAAATTGTTCTAAAAAGAATATTAAAACTTATCAAACTACTTATCATCTATAATCACAGCGTGATTCAGAATGGAAAAAACTATAAATGTCAATCACCAAAAAGCTCATCATCAATGAATAAAATAAGCTCTAGAAAAAAATTTAAAGAAAGAAAAAATAAAAAAGTTTCTAAAAGTATCAACACAAAAAGTTAACATCAACAAAAACAGTTAACATTTCTATGAATTTTTTTCCCGAATGTTCAAACAAAAGGAAAATTACTCAAGAAAGTTAAAAAAACATTGCCTAAAGATCTCCCAAAACATAACGAAGTTCTAATCACATTACTGAATGATTCATTCAACAAAGAAACTACTCTCCCACTAAATGGTGTGAATAATTCAGCTTTGACTGATATAGAAATGTCAAAAAGTTTTACTCCCAAGATGACATTATTCCACTAACTCTAAATGTTAAGGACTTTGTCTCAGTAATTGAAAATGGAAAGAAAATTAAGCTCCAATTTCGTCATCTTCTTTCTCTAGAAGAAGCATTTTAAACATCGTTTGGGTATCAAGATTGGATTTTGTAAACTGCAACCAATAAATATTCAATGTATTGCAAAGTTATCTCACAACCTATGCATTTGTACTTACCACAAAAACATGCAATTTGCTTTAAAATACTTAATTAAAGTTGATTGTTTACTGTTGGCTGACATGAAAACTGAGATTGACCTGTCTCAAAATTTTGTTTGTAAGGACTCATTAAATGATTGTTTTTTTCAACAAATTCAACAAATGCAAAGATCTGAAGTTTTTCCAGCAATTCTTAACCACAGTTGAACCACTTACATTTGAAACAAGTTGGTACCGATGGAAGAAACCAGTAATCAAAAAAGTTAAAAAGTTTGGAAGTGGTAAAGAACTAATTATCTCATGAGTAAATTCACAATGCTAATATCATAACCAATCTAAATGTTTTAAATAGCAAATAAAAATGAACTTTTTAAATTGTGCATGCCAGCTTAATAAACCAATTTCATGTGACTGGCAGGCATAACAATTTTAAATAGCATTTTAACTATTGTCAACATTTACTTATAACTGATAACCACAGCATTTAAAATAATAAAATCATATTTATCATTAAATAAAAAATGAATATTCTTAACGTGGTTGAATTAAATTCAGAAAATTTAATGAAAATGTTTGGCAGAAAAACATTACAAAGTTGCCTGACATTACTTGGAGAAACGTGAAAAGTTTTCTCATAGACACTCCTAGTGAGTTTACAAAAGAAAATACTAAGGCATACAAGTCATTGGAAGCATATAAAACATATTGATGAAGATTTTTGTTTTATAAAAACAATAATCTTCAATTTTTTTTTCATCTTTTATAAATATTTATGTCTATTATAGACATATATTTGATTTCGAAACTGATTTGTATACTTCTATTAGAATATAAGCAACACCAAGCGTTCTTTGATCAGGTAATTAAGTTACTTTGTATAGGAAGAATGTAAAACAACATTTCATTTCTTCTAACTTTGTTAAATTAAAAACTATTTCTCAAAAATATTGAACTATATTTTATACCAAAGTTGATAATATTTTATTATATAGAAATCTTTATTTTGAAAAAATAACCAATTTTCATATTTGATACTGAGTCAGGTTCAGAAGATGAAGTTGTTTACCAGAACCTATAACTAGTTTGTTTGATCCTATTTGCAATAATCCAAATGAATACCAGTTTTTAAAACATTCCAAGCAACAATATGAAGACTTTAACCATTTTGAAAATCAATATGATCAATTTGATAAAGTAATATATCAGTAAAATCAGTCATCAGATTTCCTCTCAACAGTGATGGTCTGAAATCAAATCATCCTTATTTTTTCCAGATGCACTTACAAATGTTTGTATTTAAAAGTTATCTTTAGTGAGCTTTTTATGTGGTCCCGTTATGTTTAGCAGAACAATTATTTACAGGGCATTGTACAGTGTGATAATAACAGGGTTCATGGCAGTTTTGAACCTTGCTATAAGGAAACATCTTTTTAAAAGTGTCGTTTAAATTTGCACATGAGTTATTAGAGTTCAGCATGCAACTCTTTGCCATTAATAAAGAAACAACTAACAGGCTTTGTAGCAGACTGATGCTTCTTACCTAAAACAAGATAAATAAATAATTAAACATTTAAGTTTTAAAAATGCCTAACATTTTTCATCTTTTTTTCTCTATCTGTTTAGCTTGCAAAGTTTTAAATAACAATATAAGCAACCAACCAACAAGGAAAACAACTGAAACAGGTTGCAATTAAAAGTTGATTACAATGTGTTTAAAACTGATATTAAAAAACAAAATAATAAATCAATCAAGCAACATTTCTTTTTAATTCTCACTCTTGCGTAAAAAAAGTTAATATAAATACCTGCTGCATGACTTTTAACAGCCTGAATACCCATATTGGATAATTCAAATGATTTTTTACATTTTTTGCAATAAGCTTTAGTTTTTGCATGTGCGTTGGGAACTAACCAACCTTTATAAATATCTCGCTGTAACCAATCCTCTTGAAAATAAGTCTTTATTTTCTGAAGTCATGTCTTATATTATTAATTTTATTTATACATTTAGCTAAACATATAGTTACTATATAATATAAAAATTAAAAAACCACTTTAGTGAGCAACTTTCAATAACAATAAACACTCAAAATGTGTATTTTGCAAAATAACTTCAAGTTAAATATAAAACTGAAAAATATTCCCTGAGTTTTCCCTGATTTTACAGATTTTTAACAAATATTCCCTGACTTTTCCAGGTATTCCCTGAGTGCCATGAACCCTGAATAATTTTATGAAGTAGTTGTTGATACTTTAGTTAAGTATTTTTTTAATACTTTTGTATTTTTTCTTTTACCAGAAATTGTCAACTGGAAAAGGGATACAAGCTAACAACATTGAAAACAATATTGTTTTTGCATGAAACCTGAATTTGGTTTCATGCTTCCTGCAGTAGTGTAGATTGTGCCAAAAAAGGTTTTATTATTAATGTGTAAATGTTACAAGGAAACCAAAAGGTTTATGGTTCTGTCCTCAATGTGGGGATTAATTCTAATATTTTTTATTAACAATACCTTTTAGTGATAACAAATGTTTATGTTATGGTTAATGCATTATATTTTTACTATTCTTCCTCAATGTGTATTCTTATATTTGATAGTTGTCTTGATAAGTTTCAACTTCTTGTGGACTAAACTGTTGTTTTCCTTTTAAAAATACTGGAATATAAAGGTTTGCTTTTTTTCTCTGCAAGCTCATCTTTGATTAGGATTTGTTAACAATATTATTTCCAGAAAATAATTCTTGTTTCTTCTACCATAATTGGTATCTTTGATATCTTTCCAACTGTTTATGATTAAACTGTTGGGTTTGTACATAAAAATCTAAAGTACATTATCTGGATGACAAGGTTCATCAGACCATTTACCTACAAATAATATTTGATTATTAATTTTAATGAATATGATTTTGTTATAATTAATAGCTTTGATTATTAAATTTATTTGATTTACTTTGATTATTAATTTTATTTGATTATTAATTTTAATGAAGATGATTTTGTTATAATGAATAGCTTTGAGAAGAAAAAGTTACAATAAACTAAAGAGAAAATATATTCACTCTACTATTAAATGTATATCTAAAATTGTATTAATTTTGATTAATTAAGATTGTAGAATTAAGATGTAGAATTTTTAACACTGTACTCATTTTAAAGATTTAATTGTAAGAAATGTTGATTAAAGGGTAAACAGATTCAATCTGTTGACCAGCTTCGCACCCCTTATTTATTTATTACGCTGACATAGATGCATTTACAATACATTATTTCCAGGTTAAGATGTTGAGTGCTAGATCCTTTTGACTCAATTGTGAGCCCTTGAAAAAGATCTCACTTCTGCTACAGCAGAAGTGAGATCTTTTTCAAGGGCTCACAGTTGCTGGTAAACTTTAATTCAGATAAAACCCAATTTTTTTCAGCCAATCATTACTGCAATAATTTAGATCTTTCTATATTTATGAATGGTGATGTACTCAACAAGTCATTTACCCTTAATCTTCTAGGATTAACTCTTACTTCCGATCTTTCTTGAAAACCATATATCAAATCCATTGCAAAATTAGCATCTACTAATGTAGCATCTCTTTATCATGCTCGCCACTTTCTTACTCTGGATTCTATTTTTTCTCTATAAATCTTATTTCTCTAGTTTTTTTCATAGTGGTTGCTTGCAGCCTTGTTGGAAGTAAAGATATTGAAAAAAAAAGAGTATAAGTAATTGCTTTTTTTTATTCAACCGGCCTAATAATTCAAAAAAAAAGTAAAAAAAAAAAAAAAGGAAAACTAAAATAAATGAACTTTTTTTTATGAACTTTTTATATAAATTGTAAGCAAAACATTTAAAATAAAAATAAAAAAACAAACGTTTTGTTAATTCTAAATAAAATTATTTAAATAAAATTAGCAAAACTAATTTTATATATATATATACACACACAAATAAAAAATACATTGCATTTAAAAAATATAAAAATTTGCCAATTAAATTAGTATAAATATATAAACATGAATGTTTATTCTATGTTTCTTTAGTTAAAAATACATACCCCCATTTCGCCCTCAATGTGATATTCATCATCGAGACAAGAAGAAAGATTTTCAACCAATCGATTGGCTGCAAACACTTAAAAATAAAATTTTATTATAAAATAATAACAAAATTTAACAGTTTAATTTAGGTGAAAAAATTCTTTTTATTTAATTATTATTCATATTTTATTATTCCTGCGCATTTAGATGTGCAGTGCATCTAAATATATTTTGCACACTTTAAATTTTAAAATATCAACTTTAAACAAGTCAGACTCTTAATCAGTCAGATTTATAGACCCAAACTCTCAATTGATGTATGCACTGAGGAACCTGCAGATAGCTATATCAGTATGCAATAAATAACTGGGCTTAAAATTTGACCAGATACGGGGTTGGGTTTGATAAAAAATAGCTGCATAAAAATTGATATATCCAAATTTATTTTTTTTGAAATTTTTGTTATGTTTTACATAAATATATATTCATGTATATTTATAAATAAACATCATGATCAACATGATCATCATAATTATCACCATCATCATTGTCAAGCTTTAGCCTTTCCCTTTTATGCTGTTTCTCTAATATAAACAAATCTCAAGCATCTTCTTTCCTTAACTAAAGCTTGCTCATACCATATGTAATGCATCCTCTTTCAGTTTTCTTATTTCTACCTCTATCATTTTTTCCTGAAGCTGCCACTTCTCTACATGTTGATACCACTTTAATCTTCGCTTAAAAGCTTTGTTTGATAAAATTTTTTTCTAATATCTGTCAAAGATTATGGCTCTTTTTTTTGTCTTGTTAGAGTCATACCACACATCCATCTAATCATCAAACATGTTTATATCCATATATATTTATATAATCATATTATGGGCGTCTTACCTAACCTCTAAGCAGGTATATAAGCTCTTATTCCTTCAGGTTGGTTTGAACTCATATTTTTTAACTCCAATTTTTTCACCTTCTTGTGCAGTTGCTATTTTAAACTGTAACTTTTCATCTTTTTTACAAGAACATCACTCTTAAGAACAAATGTCTTTTTTATTGTAGGAGTCAACGTAAAAGGTCCTGTCTGATGTTAAGCTCTGCTATTCTCAGTTTACTAAATCTTATCTCAAAAGTTAGGTTCTAAAGACTTGAAAAATCTTTAACAGTGTCACTAACTAAAGTTAGTCTAACATACCATCTCTAATTAATGGATGTGATTATTTCTCTGCAAAGCAGAGTTATTTGCAAAAAACTTTTCTTACAACTTGACTATTGAATCTAATGGCCATATCCTTCCTGTATTCCAGTTGAACAGGTTAACCCATTGTAATACATCTAAATCACTTTGGCTTCTGATGCTATTGAGTCAATTCTCAATTAAACTCTTATATATATATATATATATATATATATATATATATATATATATATATATATATATATATATATATATATATATATATATATATATATATATATATATATATATATATATATATATATATATTTATGTTGAATTAAATCTAATGCTATAAATTAGACTATTATATCTATATCTAATATGATAAATCAATATTTACTGTTAACAAAATGTATATTACCACATATCAATAACATGATTAAGACTTGCTTCAATATATTCAACATAGTAACTGAACCAACAAAAAAATTAACAAAATCAAAGCATTTAATACCAAAATAAATTAAGTTTGAAACAAAACATTGTTACATCCAAAAAGATCATTAATATTGATGATCAAGTCTCAATTGATCCGTTATAATTTTTAACAACTGCTTTCCAATCATATTTGATGTGCAACTCATAAATGCATTTTTCAACAAACCATAAAATGGCATGGGCAGTATTAAATATTTAATAAAACCACATTAAAAATTCTCATAAGTATATTTACAAACCAATAGATGACTTGCGAATGTTTACATTCTTGTTTTCAAAAAAACATGTGCATTATTAAGAAATTTATTCACTTATTGATTTTTTAACAAGAATTATTTCAAACAGTTTTGTGTCATTAGTTACTCAAATAGATGTAAAAACTAATTTGGGTTTAAAATTTATAAGTTTTCTTTTAGAAAAATCAGCTTTTAAAAGAACACTGGACATCTACATAGAGACTGGATTAACGCTAATTCATGATATGGAGACTGGAATAAAGCAATCCATAACATTAAAACTTACTTCACTTCACTTTATGTATATAAAAATATAATAAAAAATTTAACTTCACAACAGCAAACTTGGTTTAGTTATAAACACATCAATACACTTTAAATATCTAATTGGTATATAATAAAAACCATCTGGGGCAACTAGTTTTATATCTCCTGACTGGATGATTGTGTATCAGACAGATTACTATATCAGAATAAACTTTTATCAGAAACTTAAACCTGGTGGCTATATTCTTGCTGACAAAGTGCTGATTCTTATCAATTACTGCTGTTGTTCAATAACTATTGTGTTTTTTTTTTAAACAATATGATTGTATCTTTAGGTTATATATTTATTAATTTGCTGAATATACTAGCTTAAGCCTTCTATACTAGCTTAAGTTTTAATTTACTATTATTAATTCACTACACAAGGGCTCGATATTAAAAATGCTGCTGGGGAAACATTTAAAATCATAGCTTTTACAAAAGACAACAATTATCTGGATGCAAAATCTAGACAGCTTTCTAATGTTCTTATACATGTTTATAAATAGAGGAATTTGAGGCATAAAATGTTTCCCGTTAAATAAGACTGCAAGGATCCCCCTTTTTTTAGATAATACCATGTTGAATATGAATGCCTTTGATCATTTTAATATGAGAGTAGTTGATTAATGTAAATATAATCAGGGTGGCCAGCAAATATTCATGTTCATTCTCCATGACTTTTCCCTAAAACTTTAACATACAAAGCAACAAAAAATTTCACATAGCCCTTTACTTTTACCCAAAAATATAAACTTATTTCAAAAGTACTCTCATTGAATTTTAAATGATTTTATTATGAGACTTTAAAATTTTTTTGTAATCTTATTTTGATTGCCAATTCAAATAATAACTTTAGTAGTTTGCAACTAAATCAATCAAAATTCCATAAGGTTTGCATGATTTATTTAAATCACAGACTTTAGTAGGATTTTAAGTTACTGGCTGCCCTGATTATTATTATATAATGAAAGTAAATTCATAGGAAAACATATTATTATTTACAGATTAAAAATCTAAATACATTTTAAAAAAGGGTATTAGTTTTAATTTGCCTATTGTCTGGTTTAAAAATCTTTTCATCACCTTTTTGTACTGTACTGAACTCATTTTTTTCCAGCACAGAAATAAAGTTTTAAAATTACCCAAATTATTATTTTATATTGTTATAATTTTTCTTAAACTAAGTCTTTACCATTTGCTGCTAACTTTCCTACCATTTTTTGTTGATTTGTTACTACTTCTTGCTACAATTGGCAATATTAGGTTTCTCTAACCACTGCACCTCGAATGCTAAATTACTACTACTTAAAAATATTCAATTATGATGTTGTTATTTATTAAATTTTAAAAGATTTTTAAAAGCAATATGAATTGAAAAAGCTTATAAGAGTTTTTGTTGTTGTTTTACAAGATCAATTTGAATATAAAATTTGCAGGAGAAAATAAAAAATATATATAAATTTTTTTAATAACAATCAAAGTTTGTAAAAATAATAAAAAAACTTTTATTTTTACAATATAAAAAAAAATATAACTAATTATTTCAATCATTTAAAAAAAATTTTATTTAAGGATATAAAAGAAATGCAAATAACACTTATAAAGTGTATTTATATTATGAACTTATGAATGTAAATGTTTTCTGCCAACAAGTATGCACGCACATGTTGTTTACAAAATGATGTGATGTTGCACAGAAAGTCATCTATAGTGCAATTATTTAAAATATTCAGAACTTTGAGTAAAGTTACAAATTATTAAATTATAAAAAATTGAACATAAAATTAAAAAAAAAACGGAATTCCAGACAACCTGACCAATAAATAAAACAAAACTTTTTTTTTATTTTAACACTTATCTAAACTATATTTCTATTTAAATAATTTAATGTAAAGTGAAATCTTGTAAAGTTGATTTATGACTTCAGTTAAATATTAAAAAAAAAGTACAATTCAATTCACCCAGATGACAATAAACAACTTATAGCTTAGTTGAACTAGTTATAGTCTTTTTTTTTCAGATTTAAAAGATCCCTTACATCTATTTAAGACAACCTTTAAAAAAAAAATTATACATCCCAATTTTATTGCCATTACTTCATGTTACCATTTGAAACTTGTCTACCAACTAATATTTTTTTACATGAAGAGTTTTATTCTTTTTTGTTAAGTGGTAATTGTTTCATTTTTGGTAGTAGTACTTCTCAAAGGTTTCACTCTTTAAGATACATACCTTATAATGATAACTTCTAATGATTTAACTTCAACAAAAACAAAGAAGTTTTATATATAACTAGAAAATAATTGAATAAACCAAAACCAAAGAAAAAAGTTTATTTGCAAAACTTTTACATTTTGTAAATAAACAATAGTTTTTAACATTTTAATTGTTAATAAAACTTTTTTGTCTTTCCATCAACAGCTTTTGATTTTTTCTCATGTATTTTTTAATATTCATTTAAAGCAAGACCACCAGCATCTTCTATATTCCAAGGATTATTTAAAACTTTTTGTTGTTTAACGCATTTAGAAGCCATTTTGGTTTTAATATTTTTATTACTTATCAACAATTTCAACATTTTTACAACAAATTTGTTCACTATATTTAGTATTTAAAAATTCAACTTGTGACTCTTGTCAACAATTAGTGGTCGCTATACAAAATGTTATAATAATAAAAATATGCAACGTGTGACTTTTGTCAATAATTAGCTTTGCTAATTATTGACAAATTATTGACGCACATTAAAATCACAACATCTCCCCCAGCTCAACAAGAACTCATACATAATCGTGATACTTCCGGTTAGGAAGTACTCTTCTCCTATAGCAGGTGAACCAAACAGGCTGTAACTCTGTCTCACAATTTGTTGGA